TCTCTCTCTCTCTCTCTCTCTCTCTCTCTCTCTCTCTCTCTCTCTCTCTCTCTCTCTCTCTCTCTCTCTCTTTCTCTCTCTCTCTCTCTCTCTTCTTCCATTCCTTCAAACTCTTTAACCCTCACCTCTTCCCTCTTCCCTTCCCCTCCATGGCATGTGACTAACATCTACCCTCACCTGTTACATTGTCAGGGAAACGAACGGAAAGGAACTTAGTCTTCACTTGGTGGAAAGCGAGGGCAAGGGAAGGGTTGTCAGTCCCTTATGCCACCAAGAAGGAAAGGATACGGGACTATTGAGAGCATTTGCGAAAGCGAAAAGGAGTGCTGATTTTGGACGAGGTCAGTCTGACTCAACCATCCTCCCAGAATGCATGACTAAGGGATTGCATGGCTTGCCTATGGGAAAGGGAAGGGAACTCATAAGGGGAATTGGAAGGCAAAGACAACTTAGGATTGCGGGAAGGGGCGATGTGTTGACCCCGATGGGGATTGTGCTTGGTCACTTGTCTTGTGTGGTCTTGCGCAGGTGAGTAGCTAGGGATGACTTGGACGGGGCTGGGCCCGCGGATGAGGACTAGGGTGGGAGAGTGGCTAAGGGAAGGACTTGGATCCGGCTTAAGCCATGGATGCGGGATGAGCGGGGACGGACGCTTGGGTGGAGGGTTGATGCATGGACTTGTTTTTTGTGGAGGTTGAATGGAATGTCTCTCTCTTGTGCAATGTGACGCCTGGAAAGACTAAGGGCGGTCTTTGATAGGTGATGCGATGCCAGTGGCTCTCGCAAAAAAAAAATATAGCGGCTAGGGGTCCGGGGGACGCCGCCGCACCCCAAGGGTGGCGACGGGGCTGCCCTGAGCCACTAGACTTAGTAAAAGGTGCGTGGCCCAATGAATGACGCTTGGCCTGCGCACGGTAAGAAGGCAAACTCTCAATGAACTCCCTGGACTGCTTGTGTATTGGAAGGAGCAATTGCCTGGTCAGACTTAACTGAATCGAAAAATGCCACGAGTGCCCAAAGAGCTACCATCTTGACGCGAGAGCGGAGCTACATCCCCCAATGTAAAGCCCTCTCGCAAAAGGCCCATCCCCATCCATCTCAAAGCACTAGGTGGGGGTGCCCTTGGGACAAACGACCCTCGCCCTGAGCGTGAGCGTGGGCGGGTCGAGCCAAGTGGGACCCGCAATGGGGTCGACCAAGGCTCGAAAGTCCTTCAGGGTACGGCCCCTACAACGTGCTCCTCGACAGTCTTACTAAAAATAAGTATGTCATCGAGGTACACGATGACAAATTTATCCAAGTAGTCATAGAATATCCGATTCATAGCGTGCTGAAAGGTGCCAGGAGCATTGCATAGGCCAAAAGGCATCACCACAAACTCGTACAGACCGTACCTGATCTGAAATGCGGTTTTGTGTTGATCCTCGGGCTGGATTGCAATCTGATGGTACCCGGACTTCAGATCTATCTTACTGAAGTACCGACACCCTTGCACTTTATCTAACAGATCGTCGATGCGCGGTAGGGGCTCTCTGTTCTTTACAGTGATTGCATTGAGACCCCTATAATCAATGCACATCCTGAGAGTTCCCTCCTTCTTCTTAGGTACGAATAGTATTGGAGATCCGTAAGGAGAGACACTCGGCCGGATCCAACCCTTCTCTACGAGTTCATTGAGTTGGCGGCGAAGCTCATCAAGCTCGCCTGGAGACATCCGATAGATCCTACCCTTCGGAATACTAGACCCTGGGATAATCTCTATCGCGTGGACGACCTCCCTATCAACCACCCCTGTTGGCTCTTCAAATAGATCAGGGTACTTGGCAACTACTCCCTCTATCTCCGGCGACATTTTCACCGGCTCACCTGCAGCAGAGACATAAACTAAGTACGTACCCTCCTCTTGATGTTGCTTATGGTGGTTATAGAACGCGGCCGCACACATGCATCCATGGGAGTCGATCAGACTACTAGCTTTGAACTTGTGTAGTCTGGCGGTCCCTCCACTTGGCAAAGTGTGTTTGACCACTTTTCGGTCCCAGTCAAACTGGGCTGTGCCACAGAGAGGTAGTACATACCTAACAAGATATCCATAGGGAGATCGTCGCTCACTAGGAATGAGACACGATGCCTCAACTCCCCTCCCGCGAACGGGAACAGGCGCTGACGAACATCTCACCCTTCGGGGCTTTAGCTAGTGCCGTCCAAGAAGCTAGCGGGTCTAGTCTAGACCACTCCTCCTCTAGCTCCTCTAAGGACTCAAACACATTCATCGAGCAAAGGGTCGATGGGTCTGAATGCGTTTGCGGGACAACAAGGGAATCAGTAGCTCGGGCCATAATGCGAGATGGCGAGGGTGTCTCCACCACCACCTCGTCCCTAGTAGGAACAACTACTATTCCTACTGGCCTGACGTGTTTCCCGGAGCAGTGCCTGATGAACTGGCAACATTGCTACCTACGGGAGATGAGGATCCTACCGCCTGCCCCATAGTAGGCGGGATCTTATCGGTGACCTTCTTGTTCTTACATTTGAACTGGTTATGGTTGTATTGACCACAACGAATGCAGGCCTGTCGGTTCCACCGATCTCTCCACACGTCCTCGGAAAGACCCGCTTTCTCCCATGGAGGAGCATTGGGGTCAACTTGATTCCTAGACCGGGAGCCCCCTCGGCGTCTACCGGTCCCCTTACCTTTTTGTTGGGTTACGGCGGCGACTACTCCACCCTTTGAAGTATCGCCACCTGCCTCTGCACCTACTCYCTCYTGGAAGTTGCCGTCCAACTYRATGGTTGAACCATCGTTGTCGACAAACATGATGCGACCCTTCGCCTTCCAGTTGGGAGGCAGTGTCTTCTTCCTCCCGTCCGTAGTGGGTGTTTGTCCATGCCCTATCTTTGCTTCTAGGTCTAGGGCCACCTTGCTGAACGAAGGAAAGTTGTGCATATTGATGTTGGCCTCTTTTGCCAACTGGTTCCTGAGAGGCTGTGATAAGCATCTCAAGTACGAAGTCTGCAAGACCTGGGGGTCATAGCGCACACCTGGGATACAGATTAGACACTCAACAGCGTCAGTGGCTTCCCTAACTGACTTAAACTGCCGCGTGTGCAATGTCAGGATCGCATCAATGGCATTTTGGGCCTCCTGAGGATCATGCCATCTCTCTTCCACCATCTTCAGGAAATCCTCCAATTTCTGAGAGGCTGCCCAAGAGCGGAAGTCATGACCGTGGCCCTGGAGTTGTACTAAACCACTCAACCATCTTGCTGCACTATCCTCTAGGTAAGATGCAACCACAAACACTTCTTCGTGCGGCAAGGTGAGTTTACACCTGACGTAGACCGGCACTGCCCTCAACCAAGTGTCGAGGTCTTCGCCTCTCTTGTCCCCTGTAAAAGGTTTAGGAGCGGCGATGGCCGTCTTCGGAACCCACTGAGTTTGTCCCGGTCCCTGCACCACCCCGGGTTGTGGACTCGGTGATACAGGTTGCTGTGCTAGCTGCTGGGGTTGTGTGCCCTGTGGCGGCACAGGTTGCGAGACAGCAGGCTGCGTGGTAACTGCAACATGCAACGGACTCTGAGTGAACACTGTCTGTACAGGAACCTGCACACTACTCCCTGCTGTTACCCCTCCTTACAGAGGCATGCCCAAGGAAACGATAGCAACCGATGACGGGGCTACATATGGGGAAACCCCAGTCACCGGTGGAACAGAAAAAGGAGGATATGGCACGGGCTAGGCACCAGGCCCCGCCGGTGATGGTGCTCCCTGAGAACGCCCTACCAAAATGGCTAGGCTCTGTTGGATATCATGAAGGATGGTAGTTTGATGCTCCTGCATCTCTATTACTCCTAGCAGGGCCCTCCTAACTACCCTCACATCGTCATCCATGTTCGTCAGGTCCATCGACTCTAACTCCTCTATGTCTGCCCCTCTTCGTTGCATCCTGGTTCTTCTTCTAATCATCATTTCCTTCTCTTTTTTTATCTGTCCTAATGCCTGCTGTAGCTGTGCCTCTTGCAGAGCTGCCTGCTGGATGGCGACATCCTCTGGGGACAACACCGCGGGCTGGCTTGCCATTAAGCCAGTGGACTGACTCACGGTCTGCGCGACCGTGGACCCGACGGTACCTGAACTACGGGTTTGGGAAGTCTGCTGCGAAGACGTGCTCATGGCTGTGGTAGCCATGGCTGCTGTAGCACCGGACTCGCTAGCTAATGTCCTGCTGGCCTCGGCTGCTCTAGCTCTCCTCTGCTGCTGCCTCTCCCTCTCCCGGCGAAACAGTTCCCTATCACCCTCCGGTCCTAGGGACACGTGAGTTATCGGGCCTCTAGCTGATCGCAAGGTCCTGCGGTCGTCCTCTCCGGTGTCCTCCCTGTCGCTCATAGGCTACAACACTGTGCACCGTCTACACTAGGTCATACAAGATACCTACCGCAGCATAGTACACAGACCAACTAATTAGTGGTGGCTACTTTTGGAACAGATCTCATTTGGGGTCAGCAGATAATTCAGATTCCTACAACTGAAACTATTTTTAGTATGACTAGCCCGCAAACAGAAGCACCAGGAACAATCAAAAGTTCTAACTAATGTTGTCTGTCAGATGTCAATGGCAGTCCATCTAACTAATCAAAACATGAAAATAGAATCACTTGTGTGGATAGGACAGCATGGTATTTTCTAGAACTTGTCAACTGGAATCAACCCCTCCCTCTAATCTACACTTGAGTATCTCTTGCCGTCAGCGTCCTGAGCAATCGGGTAGCATGCGTGACTGAAGGTGTGCAATCCGGTCCCACCCCTGTGCCCCAGGTTATCGTCGAGCAAGGCAGCCACAACACTAATCTCACCAGATGACCCAATGGCAATTGCGATGAACAGTCGCTGCATCGGCACAACCAGCATTATCCGCCGTTCCACCTCAGCATCAATCGCTCATTAGATAGTTCTCATCACACTGTCCAGACCACATTCACTTCACATAGCCTTCCTGGCGATCCCCTCACCTCCTGGGTCGCCTTCACACTCGTCTCCACCCTCCTCACTACACACCACTTACGGCCAAACTCGCCCAGCAGACCGCATGTATGTACCGCATAAGGCAGAAGACAAGCGCCAGATGAGCGCAATCGTACCACAGCTCCGATACCAAATTGCAAGGAAGATGAGAATTAGCTAACTCCAGCAATCAAACAGCATCATACATATGAGTCCAGATAGTCTTGACCTCGAACCAACAGCAGAAATGCATCACGAGATTCACCAAATCAGAACACACCAATAGTTCGTAATTGACAATGCTGAAATAGTCTCTCATCATCATCAACGAAGAACAAGAGTTGATATCCTATTGGCGCTCGGCGCCCAGACTACATGTGGCAGATCCTATCTAGCCTAATACTACAATGCCGATGTTGACAACAACAGCTTCCTGAAGTACGAGCATACAGCAGACAATGCCGCAYGCTTCCAGCACCAGGTATGTCTCTCGCGACACTCACAACCCCGGTCCACACCACACAGATGCCACTAGCACCCAAGGACCACCCTGCGTCACAACCAGCTCACAGCTGAGCAGCTCGGCTATGGCTGCCCGCTACTTCCTGCTCGCCCGTGAGAGCGTGAGTGCCAGTCAGCCAGCACATAGCGCAGCAGCGCTCGCGCAGCATGCAGCCAGCACCCGAATGCCAAATGCGGAGGCAGGCCCATTGCTATATGGAAGTGGCCTGCCCGTGTTCTGCCCAGACGGTGTCTGGCCTTTTCCCAAGAAGATTCCGGTAGGCCCCGGTAGGCACAGGCCCAGACCTCACACGCAGGCCCAGGGCCTGATGGTTGCATGTGCCCAACTGCCCTTGGCCTGCTTACGGCCTTCCTCACGCGTCTGGCCCAGGTCACCGTTCAGATACATTTGCAAAATATGGCCTGGGCCTGGGCGCTTTCAACCAACTGGCGCAGCGCAACTGTCTGAATCTCCCCAGTTGCGGGGTACCCTGAAAATCGAGGCCCTGAGGGCCTGTCGCGCCTGCCTTCACTTAGGGCGGCCGACGTGCTGCAAAAAGGGCCCCAAAAAGGGCTGAGCGGGCGTAGCCTCGCA